TTTTTTTTCTTTCCTTAGTATTTTACATTCATTTTCTCATTAATTTATGCATCAGTGCAACAATATGCACACCCCGAATATCGAGAATGCCAATATTTCTTATAAATTAATCAGTGCAATCAAAAAATTTTCATTTAATTGCTACCATATAAGAAAGTTATTTATAACAGTTATCGATTTTACTACAAATTTATTAATTATTATTTTGAATTTTAATTTTTATAATTTCTTTTATTTGTAATTTTCTGTAAATTATAATTTTATATCTTATAAACTATGATAGATTATAATTTTTAATAATTAAAAGTGGAAGTGATTTCTATCTCATTGAATTTCATTACCGTTATTGATTATAATCATTCCATAAATATTTCTAATTGATTCATTTTGGCATATATTTAATCGAAAGTTTGAATAAGTAATTCAATTAACTTTGATAGTTTACTTGATTGCTAATTATGTAATTAATTTTGTATTTAATGCAATTTATTTAGACGTGCTTTCATATAGATTTCATTGCAATTACTTTAAAAAATAAAATTTAGAGCTTAAATTTTTAATTTTTTATTATAGCTTCAAGTTTCATCTAATCTATTTAAAACATATCAAATTAATGATCGGAAAAGAAAACAAAGAGAAAAAGAAAGCGAAAGTTTAAAGAAATATTTAGAAAACTATAAATTATCAATATAAAAAAAGAAATATCGAGAAAGGGTTAAAATACAATGTGTTATAAATATTTGTTTCTTCTAAGATGTAGATTTCTTGAAAGGTGATATTTCTTTTCTATCGCTATCAATCATTCCTGATAAGTGTGATAAGTTAGATAGAATCGAAACTAAGGGAAAAATAATACTTTTAAGAATTAATTATGAGTTTTTAATTATTTAATTTCTTTCTTTTGCTTATTTTTTGCTATTTTTCTTTTAATTGCTCATTCCATTAATTATTATTTTGTTTATTTCTTTTACTGCTTATTTATATTACTAATTATCTGTCTATTTTTGTGTGTGTTTCAATTTTTATTCATTGATTAATTAATTTATTTATTTGCTAATTGTATTTGTTTATTTATTTATTTATTTTTTTACTTATTTTTCATTTATTCCTTTCATTCATTTGACAAAATATTTGATTTATAATTTATAAATCCTACAACTGAAATATTATCAATGCATTGGTATAGCTATTAAGCAATTTTATTACGAAAATTTTATCAATGGCTTAACATATTGATTGATATTTGTGATTGCTGAATTTTTAGAAAATTGAGATATCTCTAAAATCAATGATTCTTAAATTTTATTACTTTTGAATTGTATCAAAAATCTTTCAACAATATAACTAAATTAATGTGCAAAATTATTTCTCATTTTACATTTATCGTTTCCGGTTAATCGTTATCACTTTTATGTTTTAGATATATTTTAATTATTTGATAAATAAACACAGTGAGTAATTATTGTGTTAAACAGGTTTTGAACATTTCCTGAAGACATTTTATGTTTGAAATGATCAAATCTATTAATAATTGCTATCATTCATTTTATCAATTTTATCATTCCAATATTGGAAGGTAACGAACAAATCATTTCATATTGATTTCATCTAAATGCCATTTGATTGTAATAAACTAAATAGCACACTCTACTATTAATTTTTCAAAGTAGTAGTAGCATTCTCGCATACAAATGTCAGTCTGTCCACAACTTTTGCTTTATAAACTTCTATCTACTTAGTAAATTTACAATGGACAGCTGTTGTGGAAATTTCAATTCCACTTCTATCTTTTAATTAAGTTCTTTCGTTTAATTCTAATATTTTAATTTCCATTAATTGAAAGTGTTTCTTAATTTCAAAAATTGAATTTAACATTTAGGCAATTATTTCTCACTAAATGTCTTGATCTTCTTTCCTATCACCGACTAAAAGGGATAAATAAAGAGAGAGAGAGAGAGAGAAAAAAAGAGAGGGTGAAAAAATTAAAATAATTAAGCAAAATAAATTATTGGGAAATTTAAAACTATGAATCAATTCCGGAAAGTATTGCTATTTCTATTCAATTAGTTCTGTACCTCTTCTGATATATAGTAAATTTTCACATACTGATACTTCTAATTGTCTTGAAAATTATCTATTAGTTTAAAAAAATATGCATATATCTTTGATATTTTACAATACAATGCCAAAAATTAAAAAAAAAAATTCACTTACTTAGTTAATGGAAAAAAAAACAAATAAACAAAGTAAATCTAATATAATATAAAGTTCAATAAAAGCAATTAAAATAGTAATGACTAATAAATAAACTATTGGCAATTAATAAATAAATTTTGCATAAAATTCATAAATGATTAGTTTTACCCAAAAAAATTAAAAAGTATATTAATTTTCAAGAAGGAAAAGAAAAGAAACTAAAAAGGATTTTCAATCTTTTACTACTATTTCTTTACTCAAATACTTGAAATTTCCATCATTTTAGATAATTAAGTATTATAATTAAATAAGCCCCTCCTCCCTCCCCAAAAAAAAAAAAAAAAAAAATAAAACAAAACAAAAAATTGGAATTTTAAAAAAACAAAACGATGACGTAGTCATTTTATGGAATTACTTTTTTTTTGTATTGTTTAACTTTTTCAATTACTTTTAATTGTATATTACTTTTGAAAAAAAAAAACCAGTCATCGACGTCACTCACTTTTCCATTTCCGTTTTTTTGCTGTTTTTTTTTTTATTGTTTACAGTTACACTTCTATCTCTCACAGTTATTATTACTATTAATGTTATTATTATTAATTATTAATAATCAATTATTATTATTTCCATACTTACTTTCCGGTTATCACATTATTGTTATTATTATTATTACTATCGTTTTATCATAATTATCTTTATATTTATTCATTATTTTCATCATAAACACACACATACTGGAACTCATGCGATTACTCACAAATACTTTCTATCATTACTAATTATCATTAGTAATGTTTATCGAATACTATTAATATTATTATTACTATTCTATTATCACAGTTATTCATTAATTCTATTTTTAATTATAATAAATTTCTAAGTTTTCACAGTTTATCACTAAATTTTGATAATCTCTATTACTATATTTTTCAAATATTTTCTAAATATGAAAAACTTTAAGTCGAATTTTCTTCCTATTTTAATACTGATAACAATGATAGATATAATAATGATTATATAATGATTAACTTATGATAGATATAGTAATGATCAAGTTAACAATGATTATAATAATGATTAACTTAACTTATTTTTTTCATATCAATAACAGTAATTGAAAAAAGAAAAAAAAATTGTTGAAAATATTTGTAATTTACTGCTATCAATCTTACAATCGCATTTGTTTTATATGACGTATGACGTTACACTAACAATTAACCTCTATGATTATACGTGATCGTTCACGTGTAAATGAAAGAAATATTAGCAATTCTTAATAAAATTTGGGTTTATTCGTTTTTTTTTTTTTTAAATTTTCTTACCACAAAATGATAAATAACTTTTTTCTTCATCATCCTACTTACCTCTTTTTCTGTTTTTTTTTCCTCTTCCAATGACATTAACCTAATTTTTGATACTTTATTGGTCATCCTTAAATAGATATCATAAGTGATACCTTATCAGAGCAATATTAAATAGTTACTGAATGATTAGCATTTTTCATTAATTTTTTATAGCTGTAATACCGTTAATGCTTTTTATTTCAGATAAACTAATAATTTTGCTATTTTTTTTTTTTGAAAATTTATTAGTTTACATTATTATCAGAAACGTTTATCACTTATGCACATATGAAATTATCAATAAATTTCATTTTTTTTCTTTTCTTTGTTTGTATAGTTTTGCTTTTTTTAAACTTTTGTTTTATTTTGAGCTTATCAAATATTCCAAATTTAAAAAAATTGCAAAATTAACTAATTTACTTATTTGATTTGCTTATATTACAATAAAATTTACTATTACTTTAGCTAAAATAAATCCTAGCTAAAAGGAAAAAAAATGAATGGCAAAGTGATTTAGTGTATATTTTTAATTTAAAAATGTTAGAAACTTTTTGATGAGACAAAGTAAAGAATTAGTCATATTAGTTTACTCTAAATTAATAATTGGTTTTATGTTTAGCTGATAAATTTTTACTGAAATTTTGAATTGAACTGTAGAAGGAAAAATTAATGTAAGTAAGCTTTTTAGCAATCAATAATTGAACCAATATTTGTTTAAATAAATGATTTTTAAAAAAAGCAAAAATAGTATCTAGCATGTTTGCTTATCATTATCAAAAGATTGATAACGATAAAGCAGTCATAAGCCTTCTTTTTTGCTGTTATCAGCAAAATTTCTTATCAGTGGGAACGTTTTAATTATTGCTATCAGTAATAACCTAATTTGTAATTTATGAATTAACTTATTAAATACTTTCAAAAGTTCGCCATTTTTTCATTCGAAATAAAATTAACACTTTTATCTGTCATAATTAATTCATTAATTAAATATATCAAATTCTGATTCTAATTTCAAATCAGCAAGCAAAACACTGTGAGAGAGTTATTTTTAATCAAAGACAAATTTATTTGAATTTAATTTTTGTCTCAAAATGCAGAATAATATGAATTTAAATATAAAGAATTTGATATTCAATTGTAAAACGCTTTTCCTGTAAGAATTACTTCATCAAATGTTAGGTTAAAATGATAATTTTTCATTTAGAACTCTTAAAGTTAAGGAATTAAAAAGTTTACTTTTTTTTTTTTCTTGTTCTAATATCCTATTTTTGAATTTTTGAATGTAATTAGTTCATATTAATGAGCAAAAAAAGAAAAAAAAATTGTTCTCAATTTTAAAATTTACAGGTTATTTCATGTATTTTGCATGTTTAATGAATGATACATAATTTGTCATTGAAATTATCCAATAATAATTTAACAAAAAAATTGAAATGAAAAATAAATTTACTTAAATTGCAGGACGATTCAGTCAGAGAAAGTCTCGTACCCGCGGGACAATCATTCGTGGCAATACGATGTCATCCAGTTCATTATCATCCAAACATGATTTCTCCTACACTGATAATGATTACGATTATTTTGTTAGTTTGTTTATTTTATACAAATTAATCAAATTATATGATTTTTTCTAAATGTTTTAAATTTGTCATCACAGTTTAATTTTTGCTATATTTTATCATTTATCATCCATTTGCGTGGAAATGAAAGGAATGAAGTTTATAATTTTTAGTTCAAAAATAAATATTATAAAAAAAAAAAATCTTAGAACTATTTCAATCATATTATAATATTAATTTTGAATTTGAATTTTGGATTTTAATGTTTTAACTAATTAATTTTGATCAAAAATATTTGTTCTTTTTTATCGTTATTCTTATCTCATTTTCAAATATTTCAAACAATTTCAAATATATATTTGTCTTTTTTTTTCATCTTTTCTCTAACTTAGCAAATTTATTTTTTGTTATCAAAAAATTTTAATTTTATCAGACAGAATTCATTTTATCATTTTAGTTAAGTGATGCACTGGTAAATGATATTGAACAATTTGCAAATCACGCAGAACGATTGCGTCAATCGCTTGATCCTTCTATCAATGCAAACGGTTTGTTTATTTATTTATTTTCTTTTGCATCCAAAAATATTAGTTAGAAATGAGAAATAAAAGGCCATAATTAAGTTCATTTATCAAATCAAAGATAATAATTAATATAAAAAAATTAACAAATTAATATGAAATTGTTTTCATATAATTAATTCTTAAAGAATGATATAACGAATTTAAATTTTATGTATTACATTAATTATCCATTTAAGACTTATTAATAGTTTTTGAATTTAAACTTTTAGATATAAATTTTATAAATAATTGATTTTGGTTAAAAAATAATTAATTTGATACAAATATGTTGGTCTTAAATAATAACAATTGTATTTCCCAAGTGATCATAGATTTGAGAATAACTTTATTGACGTTATCACGTATCTTTTCACGTATCTCTATAATAACTATATCACGTAATTCAATTATTTCTTAAAAATTTGAAGTAATAAATAAAAATTTTATAGATGGTAAGTCAATGTGTGTATAAGTACATTCAGCACTTTCAATGGTATCACAAACAGTCCGTGATTTATTAGTCCGTTATCCAGCCTTCAAAACAACTCATGTTTTACTACCTGCTAGTCAACTAATTCACAGTGTTAAAGGTTAGAAAAAACAAAAAAAAAAAAACGTGTTTATTAATTTATTTCAAATTCAAAACTGATAATTAATTCAAAACAATGTTTTAAAAAATTATTATTTCTATTAATAATTTGAAATATCATAAGCAATAATACAATAATTACAAATATAATTAAAATTTTTAGCATCAAATAATAAACGAATAGATAATAAACAGACAATTTAATAATTGAATTTGATAAAAAAGAGAGAATCAAATTTTAAATCCAAAAAAAAAAATTCACGTTTTTACGTGAAACAGTCTATTTAAGAAATA